TAGCTGGGACTACAGGCCCACACCACTATGCCCGACTAATTTTTTTCTATTTTTTAGTAGAGACAGGGTCTCACTCTTGCTCAGGCTGGTCTCACACTCCTGAGCTAAAGTGATCCTCCCACCTCAGCCTCCCAGAGTGCTAGGATTATAGGCATGAACCACCGCCTGGACTCTTCTCACTCTTTAATCTGTGTTATTCTTATTCTTTTATGGAGAAAACCAGAAACAAAGTGACTAAGAGGTTGTGCTGTCTGAAACCAAAACACTTACAGGAAGGTGTTATAGACTGACTGTGTCCCCTTCCCACTCCCCTCAATCCATATGTTGAAGCCCTAACTCCCAGATGCTATACTTGCAGACAGGGTCTTTACAGAAGTAGTTAAAATTAGGTCATCAGGGGGGCCTGTAATCCCATATGACTGGTGTCCTTATAAGAAGAGGAAATTTGAGGTTGGGCACAGTGGCTCATGCCTATAATCCTCAAACTCTGGGAGGCCGAGGGGGGATGATTGCTTGAGCTTAGGAGTTCCAGACCAGCCTGAGCAAAAGCTAGATCTCCTCTCTACCAAAAAGGGAAAAATTTAGCCAGGCATGGTGGTACACACCTGTAGTCCCAGCTACTCAGGAGCTGAAGCAGGAGGATCGCTTGAGCTAGGAGTTTGAGGTTGCAGTGAGCTATGATGATGCCACTGCACTCTAGCCTGAACAACAGAGTGAGACTCTGTCTCAAAAGAAAAAAAAAAGAAGAGGAAATTTGGACCCAGACATCTGCGGAGGGAAGATCATGTGAAGACACAGGAAGAAGACAACCATCTACAAGAAAGAATCTACAGAAAGAATCAACCCTGCTGACACCTTCATTTTGGACTTCCAGACTCCAGAACTGTGAGATAAAGTTTTGCTGTTTTTTTGTTTGTTTGTTTTGTTTTTTTGAGACAGAGTCTCACTTTGATGCCCAGGCTAGAGTGAGTGCCGTGGCGGCAGCCTAGCTCACAGCAACCTCAATCTCCTGGGCTCAAGCAATCCTCCTGCCTCAGCCTCCCGA